AATCTTACAATAAAAAATAAAATAGGTGAATAAACAAAATTCCCTGATATTATTGACATGGAAAGGGAGTCATGTTATTAAGACTTTCTGGTGTTAAGGGGCTCAAGTTTTAGAGGAGACAAATCGTTAAATAATTAAAAAAAGGAGAGTTGTGTGGCATAAGAAAGTTCATAAAATAAATCATATCATAAATCATAAATCATAATTACATTTCTTATTTTGATATTCTGTCTATGTGGAAAGCAAGATTTTTTATCTGCTTGAACCTACCTCACTAAAGTTTTGAGGTCTTACGATTGAAAAGAAAGATGATGTAATTTCATATTTGAGCATTTATAATATTTATTGATTGATTTGTTATTATATTTATTTGTAACAGTTATATAAATTTGATTTGATTTAGAATTACCTTCTAAAACTGTGAATATTTTAAATCTGTTATTATACTATAAGTCATACAGACCCTAAATTTTTATCTATGGAGTAAGGACACCATGCTCCAAGCAAAAAATATTATACCAGTCATTTGTTGTAAGTGCTCTGAATGATTTCAACCAACTCAGCAAGAAAATTTTTAACCAACTTCTAGAATATTAAGAATACAACATGTTCCAAATAATACCATTAGAGAAAAGGTGAAAGAACCTCTTTACATCCAATACTCCATCGAGACAAGCTAAAATGCTTAGTTGGTTTGGACATGTTATGAGAATGAGGAACGGCCGATGGCCTAAAAAGGTACTTGAGCATGTATAATTTGAAAGGAGAAAGATAAGTAGACCAGAAAAGCGATGGATCGAAGTTATCCATGAGACAAAAGCAGCAAGGGTAATCTGGGAGGAAGATTGTCATGAGAAATGGCAGCAGGTACTATAAGGTTATGACATATGATCTTAAACTTCAAATAAATTCGTTTATGTATATACACTATAATGTAGTTAATCATATATTAAAATAACTCTTCAAAGGGGTACTAAATATATGGAGAAAGAAGTTATTAAAAAACAATTCATCAAATGAAACGTTTATTTATTTCAGTAGTATTGCTTGTTGCTCCAAATTATTGTTTATTACCAAAAATTATTTAAATTAAATCTGCACTATTAAAACAATCATCTGTAATATTATTAGAAACACATTGCATGAGCTATATACAATTTTAACTACATATTACACTGAAAATCTTGTAAATGATTTATTTAAAATCTATATGAGTATATATTAATAAATTTTCATGTAAATGTTGGACTATAAGTATAAAACAATAAATATTCTTTCTTCAATATTGTAAATCATTAATTCTACATATGTCTTCTAATGTACAATATATGTACGTGTACAATATGCCTACATAACAAATAATAAACATTTATAAATTAAGTACAGTTTGTAATTACCAAGATGTATATTTCTATTATAACTCCTTCATTTCATTATTTTTTTTAAATCTGAAGAAAACTTTATTATGTATTACATAAGATTCAAATTTACTTCCTTATGTCATAACTAAGTATAAAATAAGTTTTGTATTTTCATATAAGAATTATTGCTAAAGTGAAAAATTGAGCTAATTTCTTTATTAACAACTTAAAGCTAAAAGTAAATGGAAAATATTTCACATAAATGTTGTTATAAAGAAATAATAAATTCAAAAAAATTGCATATATATATATATATATATATATATATATATATATATATAAGAGCAGTCCATGAACCGTTCCGCAGGGGAGGATTGGGCTGCAACAGGCGCAATCAGCTTGAACAGGATCGAGACTCTTGGGTCAGACTCTACTAACAGGGACCCCTTACAGTAGAAGAGGGCAAATTAAGAAGAATAAGATGTATATATATATATATATATATATATATATATATATAGTATATTAAATATATATATATATATATATATTCATATATATTCATAAGTTATAAATTATTGAACTATAATTATTACAATTATATTTAAATTATTTTTTTAACCAAGGATCTTGAAGGCATTGAGCAGCAGTAGGCCTTCTCCTAGGATCATACTCCAGCATGCTTAACAAAAAATCTGCAAACGGATATGCTAGCATAGTAGCCCATTTATTAACTTTGACGAGTCGTTGATATAAGTTACATCGCCTTGATGTATCAACATTTATTAAATCCCCTGATTCTAGAAAATATTTAGGTGACAGCTTTCCTGTATCTTGAATTCTTTTAGGTATATTTCCAAGTAGTTGGACCATGAGACCAATATGAATTTCATCTTTTGAAACACCATCTATAGAACGTGGACAAAATAAAACATATCCAGTAGCTAGCTCATATGCAATACAAGCAATGCTCCATATATCAACAGGAGGACCATAGTCTGCACCTATTAAAATTTCTGGTGATCTGTATGGTCTAGTTTGAATCTGTGATGTTAGAATACCCGAAGTTGTACAGCTGGTACCAAAATCAGCTATTTTTATGTTGATTTCACCTCCTGAAAATATATTTAGTCTTAAAGTACAATCTACAGGCGAACTTGATTTGGATTTTGTTGTTTTTTGCATATCCCCAGCAATAGCACTAGGTCCAGATGCATTTTCATTGCCAGCATTTGATTCATTAATTTGATCCTCTCCACTTTCAGGCCTTATTTCTTGCATATTGGCGAAATCCACTATCCTTCTAATATCATCATCACCAAGACAAATTAATATATTTTCTGGTTTGAGATCAGTATGTATAATTCCACATTTTGAGTGCAAATAATCAACCCCTTCCAGAATTTGTCGAATTATGCTCTTGACTTTAAATAGTGGAGCTCCTTTGGAATATCTTTCTTGAATGAATGAGCATAAATCATAACCAATTGTTTGGAAAACCATGCATACGTGAACGCCTCCCACTTTGTTTGGCACTATAAAGCTTTCTGAAAGTTTCAATAATCTTTCACATCTTTGATCTGAAGGATCAGTAGAATGAATCTTTTTAAACATATTTATTTCATGATGCCCACTATAGTATGATTTACTTCTGATAACTTTCATTGCAATGTATTTAGATTTTAAAATATCCCGACACAACCAAACATTCGAAAATTGCCCTTGGCCGAGTTTTTTTATAATGCGAAACTTGGATTTTACCAAATCCCCAATTTCTGCATCAAAAAAAGTGTCCCTGTTACCCAATTCTTCCTCATTCAGTTGCTCTGCTCCATTTGATTCTTCTTTAGGATTGTCATTGGAATCTTGCACACTAGATTTCTGCATTGCAGACGAAGAGGCTTCTTGGCTCATTTTTATTTCCAATTATGAGACTTTAATACTATTCAGAAACACTGCTCCTTCAGAAAAAACAGAAAATGATGAATCAGCCACAAAGAACAATAATTAACCGATAATGGGGAAAAATAATTAACAGAAAACTGAGTAAGCACAACAACACCTCCGAATGATCTAGGCGTATGACGTAACTTCAGAACCAACGCCCTTCTCTTCTCTTCTTATTGGTCCATTATTATAAATGCCATATAAATATACTAAAGATACATTAGGCTCTGAAACAAACACATTTATTTTTTGCATTTATTCTAAATTTTAAATGACATTCGTTCCGACTTGTATTCACAAATTTATTTAAATCATTTTTTATTTTTAATCTACCATATAGAAATTCTGCTTATTTTAATTATTCAGCATTTTTAAACAAATCCATTATATACTTAATAATATTTAGACTGAATCGTTATCCAATGTAAACGGACCGCTATATTAACGTGCGTGTTTATTCCCCAATGTTTTGTCTATTTTGTTTTTATTACTACGATATCTTTATTGACTAATCTAACAAGCTTTGGCCATAACTAATTGTGATAATTTGATTATTTACATTTATAGAAAATGCTAATCAAAATATTTAACTTTTAAAAACACTGATATAATATAAGGAAACTAACAGTAAGTAAAATAAAAATAAAGACACAACTCGCCTGTATACATACTAAAAACATTTACAAAATCGGTCTGAGGAACAACAAAACCCAGAAAAAACAAACATGTGAGGTGTACATCAGGACTTTAGGACAGAACATCCCTCTCGCTATGTCAATGATATTGAGCCAGTTGAAGCTGAATAAAACCACAAACACATTGAAGATGAGTGGAGGATCTAGGAATTACCAGAACTTTACTTGACAATTGGAGTGATATAATCTGTTTTATTGCAAAACAGATGGCTACAATCGTTACTGCCTAGTTGGATGATAGAGATGAGTAAAGTTAGATAAGCATTGAACTTAGATAAGAGTGATTGGAAAGAATCATGAGAAATTTTGAAAATTGGTCAGTAAAAGGTCAAAGGCATCAAGGATATGAAGGTCATTTTGCTTTCAAAATTTTTTTGTTTTTTTCGCTTACCCCTATTTCTCCATTTCTGGCATACTGAGTGGAAGGAAGAGGGGAGGGGTACAGGCCTATCTGCGGGAGGGAGAAGAGAGCTTTCGGCCTGAAGCCCCCTCCCATAAAATTGTAAAATATAACCATGTTTTATGAAAAAAATATTGTCTATAAAAGTATTATTGTTCTTGTAATTACATTTAATAGGACTTCAAGAATCACTTAAACATCATTTCATACAGGTGGTTAGTTTCTTTGTTCTTCTTCCAAAGTAAATAAAATTAATATAATATATATATAGTATTTATTGTTATTAGGTAGTATATATATTCATTTTATTTATAAATATACTATATATAATATATAATATATATATATAAGTATAATACATATATATATATAATATATAATATATATAGTATATAAAAAAATAAAATGAATATATATACTACCTAATAAGAATAAATACTATATATATATATATATAATTTTATTTACTTTGGAAGAAGAACAAAGAAACTAACCACCTGTATGAAATGATGTTTAAGTGATTCTTGAAGTCCTATTAAATGTAATTACAAGAACAATAATACTTTTATAGACAATATTTTTTTCATAAAACATGGTTATATTTTACAATTTTATGGGAGGGGGCTTCAGGCCGAAAGCTCTCTTCTCCCTCCCGCAGATAGGCCTGTACCCCTCCCCTCTTCCTTCCCCTCAGTATGCCAGAAATGGAGAAATAGGGGTAAGCGAAAAAAACAAAAAAGTTTTGAAAGTAAAATGACCTTCATATCCTTGATGCCTTTGACCTTTTACTGACCAATTTTCAAAATTTCTCATGACTCTTTCCAATCACTCTTATCTAAGTTCAATGCTTATCAAACTTTACTCATCTCTATCATCCAACTAGGCAGTAACGATTGTAGCCATCTGTTTTGCAATAAAACAGATTATATCACTTCAATTGTCAAGTAAAGTTCTGGTAATTCCTAGATCCTCCACTCATGTTCAATGTGTTTGTGGTTTTATTCAGCTTCAACTGGCTCAATATCATTGACATAGCGAGAGTGATGTTCTGTCCTAAAGTCCTGATGTACACCTCACATGTTTGTTTTTTCTGGGTTTTGTTGTTCCTCAGACCGATTTTGTAAATGTTTTTAGTATGTATACAGGCGAGTTGTGTCTTTATTTTTATTTTACTTACTGTTAGTTTCCTTATATTATATCAGTGTTTTTAAAAGTTAAATATTTTGATTAGCATTTTCTATAAATGTAAATAATCAAATTATCACAATTAGTTATGGCCAAAGCTTGTTAGATTAGTCAATAAAGATATCGTAGTAATAAAAACAAAATAGACAAAACATTGGGGAATAAACACGCACGTTAATATAGCGGTCCGTTTACATTGGATAACGATTCAGTCTAAATATTATTAAGTATATAATGGATTTGTTTAAAAATGCTGAATAATTAAAATAAGCAGAACTTCTATATGGTAGATTAAAAATAAAAAATGATTTAAATAAATTTGTGAATACAAGTCGGAACGAAGGTCATTTAAAATTTAGAATAAATGCAAAAAATAAAATAAAAAATAAATGTGTTTGTTTCAAAGCCTAATGTATCTTTAGTATATTTATAATAATGGACCAATAAGAAGAGAAGAGAAGGGCGTTGGTTCTGAAGTTACGTCATACGCCTAGATCATTCGGAGGTGTTGTTGTGCTTACTCAGTTTTCTGTTAATTATTTTTCCCCATTATCGGTTAATTATTGTTCTTTGTGGCTGATTCATCATTTTCTGTTTTTTCTGAAGGAGCAGTGTTTCTGAATAGTATTAAAGTCTCATAATTGGAAATAAAAATGAGCCAAGAAGCCTCTTCGTCTGCAATGCAGAAATCTAGTGTGCAAGATTCCAATGACAATCCTAAAGAAGAATCAAATGGAGCAGAGCAACTGAATGAGGAAGAATTGAGTAACAGGGACACTTTTTTTGATGCAGAAATTGGGGATTTGGTAAAATCCAAGTTTCGCATTATAAAAAAACTCGGCCAAGGGCAATTTTCGAATGTTTGGTTGTGTCGGGATATTTTAAAATCTAAATACATTGCAATGAAAGTTATCAGAAGTAAATCATACTATAGTGGGCATCATGAAATAAATATGTTTAAAAAGATTCATTCTACTGATCCTTCAGATCAAAGATGTGAAAGATTATTGAAACTTTCAGAAAGCTTTATAGTGCCAAACAAAGTGGAAGGCGTTCACGTATGCATGGTTTTCCAAACAATTGGTTATGATTTATGCTCATTCATTCAAGAAAGATATTCCAAAGGAGCTCCACTATTTAAAGTCAAAAGCATAATTCGACAAATTCTGGAAGGGGTTGATTATTTGCACTCAAAATGTGGAATTATACATACTGATCTCAAGCCAGAAAATATATTAATTTGTCTTGGTGATGATGATATTAGAAGGATAGTGGATTTCGCCAATATGCAAGAAATAAGGCCTGAAAGTGGAGAGGATCAAATTAATGAATCAAATGCTGGCAATGAAAATGCATCTGGACCTAGTGCTATTGCTGGGGATATGCAAACAACAACAAAATCCAAATCAGGTTCGCCTGTAGATTGTACTTTAAGACTAGATATATTTTCAGGAGGTGAAATCAACATAAAAATAACTGATTTTGGTACCAGCTGTACAACTTCGGGTATTCTAACATCACAGATTCAAACTAGACCATACAGATCACCAGAAATTTTAATAGGTGCAGACTATGGTCCTCCTGTTGATATATGGAGCATTGCTTGTATAGCATATGAGCTAGCTACTGGATATATTTTATTTTGTCCACGTTCTATAGATGGTGCTTCAAAAGATGAAATTCATATTGGTCTCATGGTCCAACTACTTGGAAATATACCTAAAAGAATTCAAGATACAGGAAAGCTGTCACCTAAATATTTTCTAGAATCAGGGGATTTAATAAATGTTGATACATCAAGGCGATGCAACTTATATCAAAGACTCGTCAAAGTTAATAAATGGGCTCCTATGCTAGCATATCCGTTTGCAGATTTTATGTTAAGAATGCTGGAGTATGATCCTAGGAGAAGGCCTACTGCTTCTCAATGCCTTCAGGATCGTTGGTTAAAAAAATAATTTAAATATAACTGTTATAATTATAGTTCAATAATTTATAACTTATGAATATATATATATATATATATATATATATATATATATATATATATATATATCTTATTCTTCTTAATTTGCCCTCTTCTACTGTAACGGGTCCCTGTTAGAAGAGTCTAACCCAAGAGTCTCGATCCTGTTCAACCTAATTGCGCCTGTTGCAGCCCAATCCTCCCCTGCGGAACGGCTCATGGACTGCTCTTATATATATATATATATATATATATATATATATATATATGCAATTTTTTTGAATTTATGATTTCTTTATAACAACATTTATGTGAAATATTTTCCATTTACTTTTAGCTTTAAGTAGTTAATAAATAAATTAGCTCAATTTTTCACTTTAGCAATAATTCTTATATGAAAATACAAAACTTATTTTATACTTAGTTATGACATAAGGAAGTAAATTTGAATCTTATGTAATACATAATAAAGTTTTCTTCAGATTTAAAAAAAATAAAATGAAATGAAGGAGTTATAATAGAAATATCCATCTTAGTAATTACAAACTGGACTTAATTTATAAATGTTTATTATTTGTTATGTAGGCATATTGTACACGTACATATATTGTACATTAGAAGACATATATAGAATTAATGATTTACAATATTGAAGAAAGAATATTTATTGTTTTATACTTATAGTCCAAAATTT